CCTGCGCGATCGAGGGAGAGCCCAAACCTGGCGCGAGGATCCGACGGCACAACTTCAGGCTAGGAGCGAAAAATCACTGACCCGACAGGCAGGGAATGTCCCAGACGGACCTGCGACGGAGGAGGGACAGAACACGGACAACATGAACTGTGGACAAGAGCGTAAGGAGGGGAGATGAAGAAGGGAGAACCAGAAGAGAATCAGGACCACAAGCATATGTGCTCAGCGGCCACGCCCATCCACACGACTGGTAATGTCTGTGTGTGCGTCTGTGTGCGGGTGATATGGTCTCTGCTCCCACACAGGCTGGCGAGAAAAAATTGACAACATGCTTCGGCACGATCAGCCACATGACACGGCGTCGCAATGTGTTGCGACAAGCCTGTACAACGGGCTCGCGATCCCTGGGCCACAATCCCTTGCGAATCACGATGCGCTCGCGTTTCCGAAGCCACAACCCTTCAGCAAATTATAACGCACTTGCGCTCCAGAGGGCACAATTCCTACTGAAGCACAACATACCCGCAAGACCCAGGCCGCAACCCCGTGCAAGTAGCGACGACGCATCCAAGACCCCGAGGCCATAAACCATAAATTGCGAAAGAGTCGCGCCCCCAAGGCCACAAACCTTGTGCGATTGCAACGAAGTAGCATATCCTGGACCACGAACCCGCCCCGCGGAGGCTCCCGCAAGCGCCACCCCATGTCCAGAGCAGGGAAACAATCATTTTCTGTGTGCGAATATTTGTATTCGGGCAGTGTCGTTTTGCCTCCCCTCCTCCACGCCTGGGGGGCCCGAGGCCACGAATCCTTAACATGATCGACCCCCGAACCCGTAAAAGAACATCGAGATGAGAAGCATGGCCACGTTTCCAATACAATTAACTGGGCGACAGGCGATTGCAATGCACAAGGTATCGATGGTGATGTACCCCGTGCCAGGGGGCTTGCGCCGTGCTGACTTGAATTGTGCCATGTCAAATTGGACTGTGCTGTGCCCTGTCGCGTTGTGGAACAGGTCGTGCTTGGCATCCGAATCCTGACCGCACCAATCTGGTTCTCAAGCTCGAGCTGCCTGAACGCATAGATTGACCAGAGCAGGTTGCAATCGACACGCGCGGGGCGCCCAACCAACTCGAGCTTAAGCACCGATTCGGTTCCAAAACGGGACGAACCAAAAGGGGGCGAATGCGAGCCGAGGCGAAACGCACCGATACTGGACGGACCGAAACGCGACAAACCGAGACGCGACGCACTGAGACAGCACGGACCGAAACAACACGTACAAACCGCAACGACGCCGAAACGACCCTAATAGAACTGAGAAGGACGAACCGAGACTGGGACGAGCCGGACACGTTCTGGGTCACCCTCCTGAAACCACATGGCGTCTCCGGCCGAGGGAGCCACACTCCGAGGGCCAAGACCCTTCGTAAACTACCAAAGACGCGACTCCAGGGCTGCGATCCTGGCGCAAATTGCGATTCATCCGCACTGTGCTGAACCGTGCTGCGTCATGCTGTTGAACTGTGTAGTGTTCCATTTCGTTCTGGATCAGGTCGTCCTTGGTATCCCAGCTTGTCCTCATCCTGGAACTCCTCGACACCACCCCGAGGGCTCCAGCACGAAGGTAGGGGAACAAACAGACATAAATGTAAAAACTCAGAGGTCCGCGCGGATTTCTCGGATCGGCGCTGGAACCCCTCCCTGGTGCGCGAAGCGCGCCGGGGGCGGCGCCGGAGGCGGCGGGAATCCACGCGGACCCTCGGAGATTTTATATCATTTGTTCCCCAAGAGTTGAACAAGGACCGACCGTCCCGGGATTCCTATAGGCCTACCGCGAGATGTTCTTAGAACCCGAAAATGTTCTAAGAACAAAGGCAACGTTCTGAGAACATAAGCCCGATATGTTGAAACAAGACAGCCCGAGCCAGAACTGTTCTAAGAACATTTCGTGCAGACCACAAAAGGTTATTAGACAATTCTTTGGTGGGCCTATAGGACAGCCAGGACGATTCGCCACTGCTCGAAAAAGGGGGGGGGCGGATGCCGAGGGGCCGGCTTCCTTGTTGTACTGCACTCGCAGCTGCCGGAGGCGGACAGCCCCGATGATGACGGAGGTCTTAGTGTCGCCGGCGTACCTGCCGTCCCCAAAGCTTCTCCCCCTCCTGGTCCCCCTCCTCCTCCTCCTCCTCCTCCTCCTCCTTTTCCACCTCCTTCTCCTCCTCATCCTCCTCCTTCAGGGTCTCCTCCTCGCCTTCGCCCCTCCACCTCCTCCTCCTCCACCCTCCTCCATCCTCGTCCTTCCTCCTCGTCCTCCCCCTCCTCCAACTCAACTCCACCTCCTCCTGCTCCTCCTCCTCCTCCTCGTCTTCCTCCTGTTTGTTCTTATTATTCTTCATGATATTACTATTATTGGATTCACGAATTCTACTGCTACGAATAAGAATATGATTATCAGCATCGTCATCATTCTCTTTGGAAATTTGATTAGTATTGCTACTATTCCGACTAGTACTACTAAGAGAAATATCAGTCGTTGTGTGAGTTGTATGATGATTGTTAATATTACTCATATTCCTGTCGTTCTGGATATGATTACTAGTATGAGTGGTAGTAATATCAGTGTTATGAAAAAGTACGAGTGGCATACTAGAATTAGTTGCATTCTTTGTAGTAGTCTCATTAGAACTAACCTTACGATTATGTGTCGCATTCGCATTGCATTCGCATTGTTACTGCTATTATTAATACGATTCGTATCAGTACTACATATATGTTTATCATGAATATTATTACTGTAACTTGTATGTGTTACGAAAACCAGATTACTAATATTGTTATTACCATCACTATCATCATTTCAACCGTCATCATCCTCAACATCATCATCGTCATTATCACTAGCATTATTTCTTTTACGACAAATAGTAAGTTCAGTCATGCTTTTTTATTTTGAATCACCCAAAAAAACCTGGTACGACCATCTACTTGAACACGAATAATAACAATACAAGTATGAAGAAAACTATGATTGTGTAGTTCATAGTTTTATTTCGTCGTAGTAGTTACTACTCCTTTTCTGAATTCATAAGTTTGCTTTTGGCGTTGCTATGAATATGATGCTGCTGGTGCTGTGTTGGCGAATTTGCCATACGATTCATACCCTACTGTGATTGTTGGTAGTTTGAAAAATGCTACTCTTCTTCGCAGTTGTGACATTTCTCGCATTGCTATTATTACCGATAATGTGAAAGTTCTGCTCAAGTGTATTGGTTTTACGTGTATGAGTTTAACTTCTCCTCCTCGTCCTCTGCCTCTTCCTCCTCCTCCTCCAATTCCTCCTCCCTTTCCTCCTCATGATCAGCAACAACAGTACCAGCATCAGCATCACCACCATCAGCATCATCGACATCAGAACCATCATCAGCAGCAGCGCCATCACATCATCAGCGTCAGCATCACCACCCAGCATAATTATCCGAAGTGGCTTCATCATTACCGTCGTCGTCATCGTCGTCGGCATCATCAGCGGCATCACCATCGCCATTACCACCGTGATGATCCTCAGAAACATCATCATCAACAGCATCATCATCATCACAATGATCATCCTTACTGGCGTCATACTCATCATCTCCATCGCTAGCAGCAGCAACATCGTCCACCTCAGAAGCATTACCATAGTCAGCATCGTCATTGTCAACATCAGCATCAGCAACCTCACCGATATCAGCATCAGCATCATGAACATCATCATACTCAAACTTGCAAGCATCACAACCATCGATATCAGCAGCAACAGCGGTATCATCATAATCATCATCAAAATCAGAATCAGCATCATCGTCACATCATCATTGCTACCATAATCGCCGTCATCATCATCATCGGCATCACCACCACCATCATCATCATCCCCCTCATCGCATCTCTCTCCTCCTCCCTTTATTCCAGCTCCTCCTGCTCATCCTCCTCATTATTCTCCCCCTCGTCATCCGCATCCCCATCATCGTCAACATCATCATCATCATCATCATCATCATCATCATCAACATCATCATCATCATCATCATCATCATCATCATCGTCATCGTCATCATACACCCCCCCTCATTATCATCTTTCCTCTCAGCCCCACCCCACTCCCCTCCGCCACGGGAGGCCAAAAAGGGGGAGGAGGAGGAGGAGGAGGAAAAGGTCTTTAAATTGCGGGTGGCAGTGGCGGAAATTGCAACATGAAGATAGCAGAATGGCGGTCCTTTTCCCCTTTCAAGATTATCAGGCACGCTGGCCAGCTGTGAGCAACATGGCAGCGGACACCTCACATTCGAGCCCGGGACAGCAGGCAATGGAGAGCGCCCCGCCGCAGCACATCGGCTGCAGGGGGCCGCCCGCAATGAGATGCCTGAACATTCACAGCATGGCATTTGCACTGGGCGCCCAGCACACCTCACCCATGACTCAAGAGCCTCATCCCGAACGAAACACTGTGAACCCTGGGAGCCCTGCCGGCTCGCTCGTGGTAAACCCGCGCGCAAGATGAGCTGCTCTGACCCTGACCAGGGTCGTAGATCGCAACGACTCCACACCGCTGGGAGAGCCCAGGGACAGGCTCTGGCCAGTGCGACCCGCCGATGTTGCCTCGCAGCCGGGAGCGTTCGCTCGCGGAGCCCAGCGCAGATCGCGCCTGGCGTGCGCTCGAGCCGCAGCACCGATCGTGCCTTCCAGCCAGAAGCACACTTCTGGTGTACCCGCTCGCCTTTGGCACTCTTTTGTGAGCAGGTTGCTGGCGGGCGTAGCTCGCCGTTGCGTCGCTTGCGCGGCTGCGTAGCTAGAGAGCATCCGCACGCCTCGCGTCGCGCGCGCGCCGATGCAGTTCGTCCAGATGTTTGCGGCAGTGCGCCCCTAGTTGCTAAAGCTGACCAATCACAGCTGTTGACCGGTCCGCGCGTTGGTCTGGTGACTGCCGAGCGGCACCGACGCGGCGCGTGCATCTCGGCTGTTCGCGGCCGCCCCGTTGTCGGTAGCAACGCCTGGCCAACGTGCCAGGCGTCTGCACGGAAGCGCGGCCGGTGATTCAGCACTGACGTCTGCGGTGGCGCGCTGTCGCGCTGTCACCTCGCAGCGCAAGCGGTGCTGAAGTGCCACAGCCCGGCACGCGCGCTTCACACCTGGCGAGTGCCTGGCGCGCGGCGCCCGCGTGACTCTCGCGATGAGGATGGCCATGCAATTGTCCGCGTGGCGCCCATCTCCTGCGCGACAAAAAAACCCTTGCAATTGACGGAGGGGCTGGCCCGCCACCAGTGGCATGGAACGGCTTCTCGGTGGCGCTCGTGTCGAATGAGATGCGCGATGCGCGCGTGGTCGGGCCATCCTCGCGGTGCACGTCGCAGCTCAGTCGCCCACACTTGCCGCTGGCACATCAGACCCAAACGCTCACGAGCCCATCGGCACGCGGCGGTGGCTGTCAAGACGCACGTGCACTTCTGCTGCACTCCGCGTTCAGGAGGACAGGAGTGGCGCTGCGTCAAGCACTTCCCGCCGATCCGTTGCAGGCGCGGCGGAACTCGCGCTGCCAGCAGCCGCGTGAGGGGAGCAGGTTCGGCCAGCTGTCCTCGCCCAAAACACGGGGTCGCGCAAAGCCACGACGACTGCGTGGTTCTGCGCGTCGCCGCCAGGATCACGAAGGTGAACCTAGTTGCTGATATCACATGATTGACGACTCTGGGCGTGACCTCGCCGGCAGTGCCCTGAGACTGGCGCTGCTGCGCGCGCCGACGCGCTCGCGTTCAACTGTCCGCGCGAGGGTGCTATCATGACGTAGCACAGACACTGCGTAGGCGCACGTCGGGCACCGCAGCGCCGCCCCCCAGCCACCGCTCCCGACGAGCGGCTACAGCACCAGACCGCTGGCGGCGAGTGAATGCCCACTCCAGGGGCCGACGCAGGAGCGACGACTGAGGAGTGAGTCCGGCACTGTTGCGCGTGGGGGCTGCAATGGCGTGCCCGATCCTTTTCGGCAGAGTCGCAGATCTCCGAAATCAGCTTCACGCTGGCGTCCGTGATGCTGCCACGCCTTCACGAACGGGCGGTCGTCGGCCTTCGTTGACCGCGATCGCGTCCGCGGCCTCCTGGCGGCCAGCAACCTGGGAGCTCGCGATCGGCATGAAGTCCTCGACGGCGTTGACCACGACGAGCTCCACGGGGTGGATCTTGCCCACTTCGGCCGAATCTGTTCAGAAGTCGGTCGGACGTCGTGCACTGACGAGTGCACGCTGTCCAGCTCATTCGTCGCTGATGTTCTTTTCCGGTCGCGTCCGCGAGCGAAGAGCGCAGGCGGAGACAGAAGCTGTCCGGGGCACGGAAACCGACCTGATCAGCTGCAGGGCGCAGAACAGGCCGGCCGGGCCAGCTGGTGTTAGCAACGCTGCTGCTACTGCTGCCGGCGCACTGTTTACATCGCAAGTGGGAGTCGGTGAACTCGTTCGCGACGAGGCCAGACACCTGGACGCAGGCGTCGGCGACGGTCGCCGCCGCAAGGCCGGGAGGCGGCGGGCGGCCGGACGGTGCCCTGCAGCTCGTCCGTCATGCCCTGGCACTCGCTGGGGCAGCACACGAAGTATGGAGGGGCCCTGGGACACACAAATAAATGCACACCAATAAAAATTATTCCCATATGTTCCCATATTTTCTGGGTTTCTGTCTTCCCCCCACTTTCCATGTTTTCCCATATTTTCTGGGGGCCGACGATTAATTGTGTCTGTGTGTTTCTTTTCCTCCTGAAGTATGTCGATCTGGCGATGCGGCTGGAGGGGCCTGGCCATGTAGTTCGCTATGTGGACGCCGCCGGTGGACCCTGCGAGAGCGCCAACTGCGCGCAGAAACTTGACGCACTCGGCGTCGGCGACTGGGAGTAGCCTTAAACGGTACGTGGCCCAGCCCATCGGGGTCCAGGCTCACGAGCTCCTCAGTCATCTGCCAGCACTCCATGTTCTGCCGTTTGCCGTCACGCTCGAGTCCGGCGATAAGCCAGCCGCGCCCCTTGGCAGAGTGGCCGCGCACGCTGGGGCGCACTGCCTGCCGCCCAAAGCCGCCCCGCCGAGCTCTCGGGCAGCTCCTAACAGGTCTGCCACATGCTGGTCTTGTACTGCTTCGCACCCTGGCGCGGCGGTGCACGGGGCAGCGCGCAGCACGAGGGCCACGGCGAAGACGGCGGCCATGGCGCTGACGCGCCGGCATCCAGGGCGAGGCAACACGGCAGGATGCGCGACTGTTCCTGCCAGGGGGCCTCGCGGCTCGGGCTCGGAGAGCCGCTCGGGGCGCTTCCAGAGCACCGCAGCTTCCTCGGCGAGGTGGCTGCGGGATGAGCGCAGGAGTCTGCCTGGAAGTCGGGCAGCTCCATGATGGTGCACGCAGAGGCCTCCTCGGCCACGACTGCGGCGCTGCTCGCCGGAGGTCGTCTGAGCTGTCCGCCCGCCCGCCCTGCTCTGGGAGTGGACAGATACCCCTTCAGTAGAACGTGGTTTGGTGAAAACGACCTCGAGCCCAAACCTGGCGGGCGCAAGCCTGGAAAATGACGGCCGCAGCGACCTCTCGAGAACCGAAAACGGACAATTCACTAATCGACAATCGACGTGTCAGGGTGGGGGTTCTGTCCACCCCCCGAGTATAGCAACCCTGCCCGGCGGGCAAGGGGAGGAGGGAGGAACGGGGGGCGGGGAGAAGAGGAGGGGGGGCACCGAGGAGGAGTAGTAGGTGGAGACGGGGGGGGGAGGGCTTTCGGGCACGGTCCTGGAAAGGGTTGGAGCAGGGACGGCTGTTGGATTGTGTCGAGGGAGCCTTGGATATCTTCCGCCCTCCTCGTGGGGGGGGGGCCCTCTCCCCCATCTGCTCCTCCTCCTCCTCCTCCTTCTACTCCTCCTCCTCCTCCTCCTCCTCCTCCTTCTACTCCTCCTCCTCCTCCTCCTCCTCCTCCTTCTCCTCCTCCTCCTCCTCCTCCTCCTCCTCCTCCTCCTCCTCCGCCCAAGCCGCCCCTCCTTTCCCCATACCTCTCCCCCTCATCACCTCTTTCATCGTCCACGCCCTACCCCTCCACCTGAGTGTCGAGCATAACAGTATGCCCTCCTGCCTGAAAACCACGCATCGCGGATACAACGCTCGCCCCTCTCCGCTTCTCGCACGCGGAAGAAGTACTGCAACTCGGGTAACAGCACGAAACAGCGCAATGCGGAGTGAACGAAAGAGGTGCAACAATAGCTTGATGTGAAGATGGAGGAGAAGGGGCACGAGAAGTAAGGGCGGGGAAGACGCTTCCTGTGCATTGCGCGAATGGCTTGCAACTTCCTCATGCTGCCAGCACCCACAAGCCGCAACCCACCTCGGACTCCACGCCATAGTTCCGTCTTGAAGCCTCTGGGCACTGCCACGAAGCATGGCAGAAGCGGCAATCGAAATGAGCACACGATGGCCAAGAGGTGGTCAAAATAATCGCGCGGACGAATCGCCTCTGTGATGCAAACCCCAGCACTCGACACCATCAGAACCACTCACGAGCGGCGAACGTATCCATATCCGCGACGTCGAGGTCTGGATTCTGGAGCGAGGATCCCGCGGATACGCTGTCGCATGAATACGTTCCGCGCGGGGCATCCGCGAAAGAACGCCCCTTATCCGCGGGGTCGCGGCTCAAGGGCCCCGCCCGCGAGGCAGCAAATACGGATATGTTTTACGCCCACGAACCACTTCCGTCAGCGTACATATTGTTGAATGAAATAGTTTCGCCTAGTGGGCAGGCTCATCCGCCAAGAAGTATCACGACGCTCGCGACGCTGAGACGAGTAAACACGTGAGTATGGATTCGGCCATGCGGAAACACCACGTCGCATCGCACGTCTACAGTTTCGGCGGGCCGCACCTGGAGTGGATCCCATGATCCTCCCCGCTCCCCCCATCCCGACTCCTGCTCCCTGGGCGAGGGGGAGCTGAGAGCGCGTTCACGAGGGTCGGCGGGATCACAGTCACAAAACGATGCCCAACACGGCCGGAGAAGGGAGGAGGGAGGAGGAAGGTGGAGGAGGAGGAGGAGGAGGAGGAGGAGGAAGCAGAGGAGGAGGAGGAGGAGGAGGAAGAGAAGGAGGAGGAGGAGGAGGAGGAGGAGGAGGAGGAGGAGGAGGCCCGCGGGACACCGGGCGCGCGGAGCCCTGTCGCCGGAGAAGCAGCACGCGCAGGGTCGAGGACGGAGGAGAGGGCCCCACGTACGGCGCTCGCTGTCCGGGGGCTTCAGACACTTGGAAGGGTGCGTCGGGCGCGAGGGCAGGAATGCATGAACACGCGTGGAAAGGGACAGTGGCCAAGAGACTGCCGTTCCTCACCCCGCTCCTCCTCCTGCTCATCCTCCTCCTGCTCCTCCACTTCCCCCTCCTCCTTGACACAATCAGCATGCCGTCATCGTTGTGGTCGTCGTGATCGCCATCGTTACCAGTGGCACCAACCACCATCGTCGTCAACAGATCCTTGCACATATCGGCATCGTCGTTTCCCACACTACCATCCGCACCATTACCACATTTGGCATCGTGGCAATGAAACTTGGGAAGGGCGAGGTCTACATAGAATTGCGGCGGCTGTATTGGCTGCTGCCTGAAGACCGACGAGGCGTTCACAACGGACGGATACACGTTGAAGTCCTGCCGGGAGCTCGAGAGTTGCGCCAGCGGAGCAGAGAATGGACGACAGAGCCACCGACAAGCAGCAACGACTTGCACGCTGCCTCATGCCTTTCAGGGGTGCGCAGCTGGCAACACCCAGTGAGGGCGAGGTCTAGTTCGGACCTGCGTATGACACCACTCCGCTGGACCTCCAGGGGCTCACGAAAACGACGACAATTGCGCAGCTGGCAGCACTCAGGGAGGGCGAGGTCCCATTCTGACATGCGCAATACACCACTCCGCTGGGCCTCACTGGGGCTAGCAAGAGTGGCGACAGTTGCGCAGCTGGCAGCACCCAGGGCGAGGTCTCACACTCTGCTGGGTCCCCCTGGGGCGCACGTCGGTTTCAAATTTGCGTAGGGCACCACTGCGCTGGGCCCCCAGGGCCCCGCGAAAGTCGCGACAGTTGCACAGTTGACAGCCGCTGGGCCTCCAAGGGGCTCACGAAAATAGCGACAGGTGCGCAGATAGCAGCCCCCAGTGACGACGAGGCCTTATTAGGATCTGCACGCCACTCCATTGCACCTCCCCGGGGACAAAGAAAGTGGCGACGGGTTCGCCGTTGGCACAAGCCAGGAATGGCGAGGTCATATTCTGATTTGCGTAGCACACACCCCTCCGCCGAGCCCCTCAGGGTCTCACGAGAGCAATAACACCTGCACAGCTGGCAGCCCCCAGGGAGGGCGAGGCCTGATTCTGATCTGCGTGGGGCGCCACTGCACTGGAGCTTCCAGGGGTCCGCAAGAGTCGCGACAGTTGCACAGCCGGCAGCGCCCAGGGGAGCGAGGAAGGAGACGCGCAAGAGGCAAGTACGGCAGGTTCGTGTCGTTGGTTCTCGACACCGCAGGGACCGTTCCACCTTGAACGATAGGCCGCTGCCGCGACGTCCGATCGTTCAACATCGATCGATTCTGGGTCGCCGGCGGCGTTCAACCTTGAACGCCCGCGCTGGGGTCGCCGCCGGTCGACACGGCACGAACCTACCGCAAGGGCTCCCAACTTCGCGCTTCGCGCTGCGCGAGAGCGCGAAGTGCGAATAACTTCGCGCTCTCGCGCCGCCCTCCCAGGGGAGAAGAGGGGGACGGGGAGGCATCGGAGCCGATCCGCGAAGCGCGAAGCGCGAATGACTTCGCGCCCTCGAGGGCGCCCTTGGAGAGGAGGGAGGGAGGCGTGCAGGAGCGCGCAGCGCACAAAGAGGGCCGTGCGCGGCGCCTCCGGCCCCTGTCCCCAATCACGTAGCCTACACCCTGCGAAAGGCGCTAGAAATCATGGGTTCAGAAATGCATAGTCTCGGAGTTTGAAGTCAAACCCAGAGTGTCTATTCAAAGGTCGGGATTTACATTGAAGCATCAAGAAGAATCGAGACTCTGGCCGAAAACTTGGGTTTTCGTAAGCATCGCCTGGAGTGTAGGCCCCACTGGCCGATTTGCCCCCTAGAAGGGGGGTACAGGCCGTCTCCTTCGGGCTTCGAGGAGCCTATCCCCAACTGGGATGCTGAGATGGTGGGGGCCTGGACGGGGAAGGAGATGGGGATAGGGTTAAGTCGGGCGTGTCCCCCATACAGGGGGATTTTGGGCGAAGAATGAAAAATACCCCCAAGATACCCCCAAATAGGCAAAAATATTCAAAAAACATCGTCCCCAGACTACTTTTTTAGTATTTCTGAATATTCCTCCTGTAGAGGGGCAGGCCCGACTTAAGGATAGGGGTCGGTTGAGCGATGCTGAAGAGCACAACGCTGCGCGCGCCCATCGCCTGCGAGATCTGGCACCCGCAACGTGCGAACAAGACCATGCTGCGGCAGAGCTCGCCGGGGCGACCCCCTGGACAAACCTGCAGTGGCGGACGGCACCCTTGGGGGAAAGCCTCCCTGGACAACGCATCCTCCGTGCTTTCTTCCTGCAGCCACAGTAAGCGCCCCCCCCCCTCGCCCGAATGCCCCGCCTCACTGCAACGCCCCACCCAACCACCCCTTCTTCGGCTCTAAACATCCCATGCGGTTATATAGTTCACTTCGAAGGGACAGCGACGACAACGACGACGACATCGAGGGCGACGAGGGCGACAACGTCGACCACGAGGACAATGACGACTGCGACGACGACGACGAAGATCACCACCACCACGACCACCACCATCACTACGAGAACGTCGACCATGACGACGACGACGACGAAGACGAAGACGACGACGACGACAGCGAGAATCACGATGATGAGGGCACGGTGCGCGCTGGACTGTTTAGCACGAGTGCAGGGGTAAGTAACACACATACGTAAATCAAGCAAATTGAACAAGCGAGGCTGGGGAGGGAACTCAGTCAAGTAAATCAAAGTACTCGGCGCGGGGATCCCCATAGATACGTGCTTCAATATTGTAGCCCGCTCGTTCTGAGTGTCTGAGTGTACGTGGGTCTGTGAGCAAGTCTAATTACGCGTGTCAGAGTATGAGTGAGTCTGCGTATGAGCGCCTGGATGCGAATGCGTCTGGCTACGAGTGCGCATGGACGCGAATGGGTCTGGAGGCTAGATGCGAGTGGCTCTCGCTGTGCGAAGATTTGAATGCGAACGGATCACTGTTTCCGTAAACGTGGACACTCGTCACGGGGTCTGGCAGTGGAGGTGCCCGATGGTTGCCCACGATATATGAGCGCGAACGGGCCCCAGAAGAAGCCGTGCCTGCCGCACGCGGTCAGCATGGGGCTGATTGCGAGAGATCACTCGCCTGCTGGGCCACATGAGCGTTTCGCCTGAGGGGTCCACACAGTCTGGGCCCGAACGAGCCCGTGGAACACCCCTGGCCACCGCCCCCGTCGGGTGGCCCAAAAGCTATGCTTGCTGCATCGCGGTGGCCATGGGTTACGACACAACGGATACGTGCATATATATATATAAATATATATATATATATAAATATATATATGTATATATATATATATATATAACAAAACACCCCCAACAAAAAACAAAAAAAAAAACTCGCGCACTCGGCAAACCCCGACGGGCTACTCCGCAGCGGGCCGGGCGGGCCGACCCAAAACGGGAGGCAGATCGGGCGGGCGGACCCCAAAGGGCCGGGGAGGGTCGGGGGGGGGGGCGGGAGCGCCCTGTCGGGCGAGAGCCGGTCGGGCGAGGCCTCGATGCGGGCGGGCCTGCCAGAGCAGGCGGACGGGCGGGCGGGCGGGCCCCAACGGGCGGGCCGGGGCGGGCGGGGCGCCAAAGCGGGCGGGTGGAGCGGGGGGACCCCGACGGGCGGGCCTGGCCGGCCCCGTGGGACGGTGACGCCCGAGTCCTGCGTAGATGAAGGGGCCCCAGGGCACACAAATAGATACACACAAACAAACATATTCCACATATTTCCCCATGTTTTCTGGGTTTCTGTCTTCCCCCCACTTCCCATATTTTCCCATATTCTCTGGGGAATCGACGATGAATTGTGTCTGTGTTTTGTTCCCCTCCTTAGAGCCCTGCGTAGGTCGTGGGGGAGGCCTGGGCGAGGGCGCGAGGCCTGAGGCATTCGGGAGGAGGTCATAAACGACAGTGCATGCCTGCAGTGGCGGGATCGCGAGTCCTGGAGACAAGGGCTCCCAACTTCGCGCTTCGCGCTGCGCGAAGCGCGAAGTGCGAATAACTTCGCGCTCTCGCGCCGCCTCCCAGGGGAGAAGAGGAGGATGAGGAGAAATCGGAGCCGAACCGCGAAGCGCGAAGCGCGAATAACTTCGCGCACTCGAGGGCGCCCTTGTGGAGAAGTCCCGGGCGCCCGCGCGATCCATGAGCGGTGGCAACGCGACTCCTGCACAGCTTCAGGGGAAGCCTCAGGCGAAATCACGCTTCGGAGGAAGTTGCGGGACCGTCGCGAGCGAGAGCGCGATTGCTGAGAGTCTCAGACGGGAGCCGTCGTTAACGTCTTCTGGGGGCCGACATCGCAGTGTGACCCTGAAGGCCTTCCCTGAGAAGAAACACGGTGCGATAGCCGAGGAGGGCACTTCAATTGAAAAAACAATCGGCACCAGTGGGTGGGGGACCAGTCTTAACTACTCATCCAATAAAAACTCAGCAAAAGGGAAGGACAGGAACAAACTTTTTGCGTCGCAGCGCGGCCGGGACAGTCCGTGCGCGCGTCCAGGCAGGCAACCCAGGCCAGGAGGGGAGCAAACAAAGAACGATCAAAAAGCAGAGCGCCAGGCCGCGGGGAGGGCGCAGGGGGTATTCAGCACCTCCAGAGGCCCCTGGAGGACATCAGAGGTCTCCAGAGCCGTGGAGCCCCTGGGGGCCTCCAGAAGCTCAGCCAGAAACGCTCAACCAACCTCGAAACTCGACAAGTGACGGCGACGGCGACGCCGACGCGCCGTCGTCTCCTGGAAGGTCTTCGGCGCGAACTGCTCGCGCAGCCAGTCCTGCAGCGAGTCCGTGTCCTCACAAAGGGAGGTCGACCAGAAGGGGAAGAGAGTGGAGGGACGAGGAAATCGCACCAGACCTCTGGGCGTGGCAGTTCCGAGCGATCCATCGTCCAACCCCCCTCTTCCCCATCGGGGAGGGGCCTACCCCTTCCCCCCACCCCACGCCGAACGGCTCCCCCCCTCGCATAGCGAACCCTCCTGGGAGCCTCTGGCAGGCCTCTTGGGAGGCGCTTGGAGGCCTCTTGGGGGCCTCTGGACCTTCCTGCCACTGAGCTGTCGACCTCTTCCCCGGCACCCTGTTGATCGTTCCGCGCCGGCTCTTGCCGGCCCCAGCGCCCACGGCGGACCTCCAGGTGACCAGGCTGAGGAAACAAGCCATCGCGATCAGTCCAGTGGCGCTGGTAGTTGTGAAGGGGAGCAGTAGGGGGGAACCGGCATGGGGGGGCCATCGACCTGGACTTGGCGCTGCATCGCCGATGAATCGGCGACAGGCCCCCCATCCCGAATCCGCACGTTCGTGGGCAGGCTGGGGCTATCAGGCCCCTGTCGGCGACGACTGGGCGATAGGGCGTCGGTGCATCCCCCTGAACTTACCGCCCCCCAACGTTGTCCTTGAGAGGAGGAGGAGGAAAAGGAGGAGGAGGAGGAGGATGAAGAGGACGAGGAGAAAGGGAGGGGGAAGTTGAGGAGGAGGGCAACGAAGACGAGGACAAAAAGGAGGAGGACGAGGACGAGAAGGAAAGAGGAGGGGGGCAGGAGGAGCCTGGGCCTACAGAAGTCTGGGTCTACATCGTGACCTTCCCTCCTTCCTGGGAGCGCGCGCCACTTCTGGTGGCACCGCTTGAGTCCTTGACGGTGTCCGTCTGGCAGGACTGCCCGGTGCTGGTCCTCCTGCTCTGGAAGGGCGGCGCGCATCAGAAAGGGGGTGGGTGGGACCTTCCTCCTCCCCCCTCTCCACCTGTCCTCCTCCTCCTCCTTTTCCTTTTCCTCCTCTTGTTCCTCCTCCTCCTCCTCCTCTTCCTCCTCCTCCTCCTCCTGCTCCTCCTCCTCCACCTCTTCCTCAGCATCCCCCTCCTTTTCCTCCTCGTCCTCCTCCTCTTTCTCTGTCTCTCTCTCTCTCTCTTTCTCTCTCTCTTTCTCTCTCTCTTTCTCTCTCTCTTCCTCTATATTCGTCTCTCTCTCTCTCTCTCTCACTCTGTGCATATATATATATATGATATTATATATATACCTATACGACCACCCTTCGGGTGATAAGGAGCTTCGGGGGGGGGGAACCAACGTCTCATTCGATCGGTCTCACTATCGATCTCACTATCGATCTCACTATCGGTCTCGCTCGATCGATCTCACTCGATCGATCTCACAATCCATATCATTCAATCTATATCATTCGATCGATCTTACTATCGATCTGACTATCGATCTCACAATCGGTCTCACTATCAATCTCGCTATCGATATCACATTTGGTCTCACTATCGATCTCACTATCGATATCACAATCGATCTCAGAATCGACATCATCATCATCATCACCATCATCATCATCATCATCATCATCATCATCATCCTCATCCTCATCATCATCATCATCATCATGATCATCAGCATCATCATCATCATCAATATCATCATCATCAATATCATCGTCATCAACATCATCATCATCATCACCATTACCAGCATCATCATCATCATCATCAGCACCATCATCATCATCAGCATTATCATCATCATTATCATCATCATCATCATCAGGACACCATCATCATCACCTCATCACTAGAATCATCAACATTACCATCATCATCATCACCACCAGCATCATGATCACCATCATCATCATCATCATCATCGGGACACCACCATCATCACCATCATCATCATCAACATCATCATCATCGGGACACCAGCAACATCATCATCGGAACACCACCATCATCATCATCATCATCATCATCATCATCATCATCATCATCATCATCATCATCATCATCATCGTTAACATCATCATCTCATCATCATCATCAAAATGAACAACATCATCAACATCATCATCATCATCGGGACACCATCGTCATCGGCAACATCATCGTCATCAACATCATCATCATCGGGACACCATCATCATCGTCACCATCATCATTATCATCACCATCATCATCGGGACACCATCATCATCATCAACATCAGCATCATCATCATCATCACCATCATCGGGCCACCATCATTAAAACCATGATCACCTCATCATCATCCGAATCATCAGCATCATCATCAGCATCGGGACACCATCATCGTCATGATTTGCATCATCATCTTAATCATAATCATCGGGACACCATCATCATCATCACCGTCATCATCAACAGCATCATTATCAACCTTATCATCACCATCATCACCGGGACACCATCATCATAATCATCATATCATCATCATCTCATCATCATCATCAACATCACCAGGACACCCAACATTATCTCATCACCATCAGCAACAACAGCATCATCATCAATATTATCATCAACGGGAAGCCATCAACGTCACCACCATCACAATCATCATCATCAGCAACATCGCCAACATCATCATCATCATCATCATCATCATCATCATCATCATCATCATCATCATCATCGGAACACCATCATCAACACCACCATCACCATCATCATCATCATCGTCCTCATTATCATCATCACCGTCATCATCGGGACACCGACGGGACACCGGCGGGACACCGGCGGGACACCGCGCGCCGCCGGCTGCCCGAATGGAATGATTTGGTCTTGCCGCGCCTCAGCCACACCGGGACACCGGCGGGACACCGCGCGCCACCAGACGCCGGAAGGGAATCATTTGGTCCGGCCGCGCCTCAGCCACAGGAGACTTTCCTCTCGCCCGCCCACGCAGCTTCGCCTCGCCCGCGCGCACGGCACGCACGAACACGAAACCGAAATCGACTTCCCGGTAAGGGGGCTCTCCATTCCACTTCGATCTCACCCCCTCACCTCCGATCTCTCTCTCTCTCTCTCTATTTCTCTCCTTCTCTCCATCTCGTTGTTTTCTCTCTCTCTCTCTCTCTGTCTCTCTCTCTCTCTCTTTCTCTCTCTCTCTCTCTCTCTCTCTTTCTCTTTTTCTCTCTCTCTCTCTCTCTCTCTTTCTCTCTCTGTCTTGCTCTTTCTCTCTCTCTCTCTCCCTTTCTCTCTGTCTCTATATACATATATAACGGATATATCGTTATCTCTTTGTTCTCTCTCTCTCTCTCTCAATTCTCCCTCTCTCGCTCTCTCTCCTTTTCTCTCTCTCTCTCTCTCTCTCTCCCCCTCTTTGTCTCTCTCTGTTGTTCTGCTCACACAGACATGTACATATATATATATATATATATATATATATATATATGCATGCATCCCAACCTTGGCGCGGCCATCTCTCTGCACAACAATGCCGCCTCACGCGAGGCCGCGGGGCTACTGCAGCGGCAGCACCGCCGCAAGCCAGCGACGGTAGGTTCTGAAGACAAGAAGAGTAGGGGAAGGACCGCACAGAGTGACGAGACCCTGACATGTCGATGACTGGGGAAGGTATGGGTTAAGTAGCGGGGCCACTCAAGGGATGTCGAAACGGTTACGAATGACGCAGTACCTTCCCTGTAGCGATGTACATGACGTACCGTGTTGATAACGCTGTAGACGAGATAGCGCAGTAGCCTCCAGGTTGGCCGTTTTCAATATCAGCACCGCGATGTGCCACGCGAAGATATTGTGGTAGTTCCTGTAGAGCAGTAAGCAGGCCTCTCATACGGCGGTGCACAATGGCGATGCGCTCTGTGAACTCGTCGTAGGAAATGCGGCCCGCATAGCAGACGGCCTCTATGGCGCGGATCCGCAGTTTGAGTTATCTGCCCCATTTGTCCTGTGGCAGGGGCTCTTCTGGCGGCCGTCGCAGCGCAGCTGGGTGCCCCGTAACTCAGGTGGCTCTCGGACCTCTGCAGGTAGCCCTCGCAGCTCCGCTGGTGACCCTCGCAATGCAGCTGGTGGCCGAGGTTGCTCACTTTGCAGCCCTCGTAGTTCAGCTGGCGGCGCTGGTAGACCTTCAGGTGGTCGTCGCAGGTCTAGCGGTGGCTCTCGTAGCCCAGCGGCTGCCCCAGATGGCTCAGCTGGTGACAGAATGAGCTCGACTGGTTCTCGTTGAACGGCGAGTGGCACTGGCAGTCCAGCCGGTGGACCTTGAAGACCTGCTGGTGGACCTCGAATTTCTTCTGGCCGTTCGTGAGGAGCAGGGGTTAATCCTCGTAGCTCTGCGCGCCCAAGTGGCTCAGCTGGTGGCCCATGGAGCTCCGCTCGGCGCCCGTGCAGCGCAGCTCGCGGTCCTCGCAGCGCTGCTGGTGGCCCTGGTGGTCCCGTTGGTTTCTCGCGGCAGCTACGGAGAGGTGCATCGGCGGACCTGGCGCAAGGCTGCTTCCACGTCGTCACGTCCAAGGCCGCATAGTGATAGTAGCGTCGCCCCTGCTGGTCGAGGCAGCTGCTCGCGCGGCTTAACGAGCGACTGCGCGGGCCCACAGGCCCAGTCGAAGCAAGCGACGGCAGCACTCTGACAGGAAGCACGCTACAAGGCAGAAGCCGAGCAACACAAGGCGCGCTGCATCAAGCGGCACACGCACGCACCGGCCCACGCCTGCACATGAGGAGCGCGCAATCATCGCTAACACTTCCCATAGCCGAGATGCGCGCGGAAAACCCGCGTCAACGCATCTGCGAGAAAGCTCCGAAGCAGTAACTGTTGCTGCAGGCTCGAGGAGAAATGCCGATTGAAAACCGCCCTTCCAGGGATGGAAGGGCCCTCAGAGACATCAAAATTTGATATCAACCAAACCTGCATCCAGCAACCACAACCAACCCCTTCTGCTGGGACGCACCCACCGAAACTGCATCGGATAGAAGCCGCACGGTATAAAAAGTTGCACGTTAAGCTTTGTCCCCAACACTCCATTGTTCTGCTTCTGCCCTGACGGGCCCCATGCGTAAGAACATCTGCTCGATCGTCGGATTCGTGGTGCACATGTGTAAGTAGGCCTCTTCCTTCGCATGCAGGTCTGACCCCATATACGTGAGCCATGCTGTCCAGAATGTCGATGGCACAGTCAAGCCTGTCCTGATAAGCGTCGCCACAGACACGCCAGCACATCGCCAAGAGACAGCGAGCAGCGAATCCCTTGTAATTTCTAGCGCAACGCCTTCCGAACGGACGTCCCATTCCGTATTTCGTAGATCGTGAGAATCGCCAGCCTCTTCGCCCATGCGTCCGGAGCCGCGGGGGGGGCCCTCGGGCGCGCCCTCCTCCTGCGTTGCCTCGCTGCCGTGGGCCCCCATGAGATGACCTCCTGCAGGATGGCTGCGACCCGTCTCATGCTGGAAAAAGGCGATCACTCCTTCCGCGCAAACGCGGCTGGCGAAATGCTCGAACGCAGAGGCATTAGGTGAGAAGGAGCCACCATCTGGACCCCAAAAAATATTCCAAAACACGCTTGCTAAGTGCGTTGCCCAGTCGCCAGACCGCCTTGTCGCAGCCGCTTCCTTCCCTGGGATGCTGAGAACCGCATCCACGCCCGCGCCGCCTCTGAGGCACCTGCGCGCAGTCGGCCCCACCAGCCCCCAAAAGCCGCCAGGCACATGTGCAGGTCTCTCCGCGTCCGCGAGGGTAGTCACATTATCCCTGCTGGCTGTCGCAGGAGACACCACGAAGCGTGCCGCATCCCTAACCAACATCCAATGAGCTTCAAGAACTCTCTGCATGAGGCCCATAAACCCTGCTGAGTGGAACAGGCCCCTGGCCTTTTCGAACTCCCTTCGGCCCCAGCTCTCACGATCACCCCCCCCCCCCCC